ATGTGGGGCAAAGCTCACCTAACGACTGTTTTGCTCAGCCATGGAAATTTTGGGCTCACCTGTGGTCGTAAGTCAAGGACTATCTTGTCTAACCCAGACGGTACTATATTTTATTTCTTCCACTAAGCTGCAATTGCAGCATGTAGCCACTAGGGGCTGCTTCTGTAACAACTGCAAGTGTGGACAAAGCCTGTCTCTCTCAGGTGGGTTAAAGGGTGTGAATGGTTTTGAACAAGAGCTAAATGTTTAAAAAACCTCGTGGGGAATCCTTCGAAATGCAGTTAGGGAATCAAAAGTCCCCACCCAAAACCTCCCAGGGTATGAGAACTACTAGAGGAAAAGATTTTTAAACACAGCGCCTCCCTTTTTATCTATTTTTCTACATGCAGGAAAAGTATAAAAACCATCACCGAGGAGAGGTATGCAGAGCACACCCACATACTGTATACAATATGGTCCCATCCCAGGAATACAAATCCATGTGTGGTGTTTGCAGTTCAAGGAGCATAAGGAAATGAATAGAACTGACACCATATAGTGCAGGGGTCTTCAAACTTGGCCCTTTTATGACTTGTGGACTTCAACTCCCAGAATTCCTCAGCCAGGCACGATGGCTGAGGAATTCTGGGAGTTGAAGTCCACAAGTCATAAAAGGGCCAGGTTTGAAGACCCCTGATATACTGCATATGAAATAGTTGGGGAGAGAAAAAAAAAACAACCTTGCTGACTTTTTATGGGCAGGGAGAGCTTAATTAGCAACTGTACTGAAGAAATTAAGATGTAGGGGTCAAAATGTTGGAAGGTACCTTAGAGATTATCTAGTCCTACCCCCTAGCTCAATGCAGAATCCACTAGAGCATCTTTCATACATTATCACTCAGGCTTGGTCTGAAGACCCCCAGCAAAAACAAATTCATCACTTCATGTGGCAACCTGTTTCACCAGCTCATAGCTTGAACCCTGGTTGTAATCCTGTCCCCTGGGGCAATAGAGTGTAAGTCCACTTCTCTGTGGAGTCAAGCTATTTTCCAAAGTGCCTGAAGGCAGGACAAGAAGCAACGGGTGGAAACTAACCAAGGAGAGAAGCAACCTAGAACTAAGGAGAAACTTCCTGACAGTTAGAACAATTAACCAGTGGAACAACCTGGCTCCAGAAGCGGTGAATGCGCCAACACTGGAAGTTTTTAAGAAGAGACTGGACAGCCATTTGTCTGAAATGGTATAGGGTTTCCTGCCTGAGCAGGGGGTTGGACTAGATGACCTCCAAGGTCCCTTCCAACTTTACTATTATTATTATTATTATTATTATTATTATTATTATTATTATTATTATTATTATTATTATTATTATTATTATTATTATTATTATTATTATTATTACCCTTTAGATATTTGGAGATAGGAGGCTTACTGCTATTAGTTTTCCTGGAGTGGATGTTCTTCTATATTGCTGCATCCCCTGGATCTAATGTCAGTGAAGTTTCTAATGATCTCCTCACAAATTTCATGTTCTGTCGAAATGGAAATCGTGCACTGAAACCGTTTTTGCTTTGGCAATAAACAGATGCTCATTGTTATTTTAAAAAGTGCTTGACTCTCCTTTAGACAGAGTCTTGACTTTTACCCTTTCATTGTGATCCAGCATAGGGCCAATTCTGATCAATAACTATAGCCAGGACTCACTCCTTGAAGTCTTCTCCAACCTTGGCACAAGCTTTTGAGTTCAGAGTCAAATTTTATTTCTTCCTTTTCACCAGTTGCTTAGAAACATGCCTACAAAAAAAATATACTTCACGGTTCTCACATTTTGCTGTGCTGAGGCTAAGAGGTTCCCCTCCCATCTTTTGCCCTGGAAAACAATCCTGCTTTTTTTAAAAAAAAATAAATAATAGCAGACATAAATATCTGATTACATTTGAACCATCCATTCCCATTAAGCTTATGTATTTGAGTAAAGAAGTCCTTGGTGGTCTGCCTTTAACATTATTGGATTAAAGTTTAACTGAGAAGCAAACAAAGGTATTTTGAAATTAATTTAGAAGATTTGGGGTAAAGAACAAGGTGGTTGGCAAGCTGATGGAACAGTAAAGTATTTTTAAGGGAAGAGCTATTTAGAAATGTGCAGCTCCATTAAAATATGTCAAAACCCTTGAAATATGTCAGGTGTCTCAAGAAGATACCTGGTATTGATAGGTATCTAAATCTGAGAGGCAAAGATATGAATTGGTCTATCCCAATTTCCCCCCATCATTTTAATAATGGAAGCTACCAACGACAATCTGATCGATGAGGATCTAACTCAGGGCTCTTCAAACTTGGCCCTTTTATGACTGATGCCTGGCTGAGGAATTCTGGGAGCGGAAGTCCACAAGTCATAAAAGGGCCAGGTTTGAAGACCCCTGATCTAACTCTTGACTGTTTCTGATTGTTTCCCAGTTGTTTCTTATGCCTCCTGATCCCAGAAGGCATCAGAAACAATTGCATACCCCAGATCAGCAGCCTGCAATTCCATCCAAGGTTCATTGCCACTCAATAGAGGTTAATGGAGCAGTCGTTTGTGCCACATCTGTTCCGTTTGTCAGTAATTTCTTAAACCATAACACAACTGATAGACACTTCAGAGGCTTCATTTATGTGAAAAAGAAAGAAAAACAAGTGATTCAGATGCATTGACTGAAGACATATGTGCTATGCCATGGTTTGTTAATTACTGAATAAGCTACAATGGGCTGGGATCATTACAAGACAGTAAACCATAACCCTGGTTCACAACTTCCCTGTGCATCCCTGGTTGGCTGCGAACATTTCTTAAGCCCCACCACCTCCTGAATTAAGTGGTGTAGTATAATATGTAAACCTCTGGACTTGTTTCAGTCAAGGTTGACAATGATTTTGCCCCCCCCCCCCAAGGAAACAATATGGAAAAGCTCTTTCAACAGCCACAGGCAAGTGAGGGAGGTGCCAAAGTTTTGCTTAATCACTCTTTGGTCTTCCCAAGGCATGCATCAGCTTGTGGCCAGTGGGCTGACACCCATTGCTTTGGAGCACCTGCTGCTCAGCTGGGATCAGAAAATGTGTGTGTGTTTGGGGGTGTTGTATGCTGTGTGTGGGGGTGTGGGGGTAACAGAGGGTGAGAAAGTGGCAGATAGACAAAAATGTAAGGGTGTATTCAGATTAAATCCAAACTCAAAACACTGCAGGTTTCGGCAGTCTGTAAGGGGCACTGTTGTAACTCTTAAATAGAGGCGAGCGAATTGCTCAACTGTTGCTGCTGCTATCCCTATAGGTAACAATTTTGCTTGTGTTCCTGGCCAGCATTCTTGCACACACAGACACACACACACACACGCACTCGCAATCTGAAGGAGCACAAGTGAGTGCAAGGGAGGATATTTTACTTAGCTCGAGCACAAGTAGTTCTTTGCATAGTTTCCCGAGTTTCAAGCAGAAAATCAAAATTAAATCTTCTCCTCGCCTCTCTTCCACCCCCTCCCCCCGCCCCCTTGCACAAGACTACAGTAGTTTGACCAAAATTTCTGGCCTTAACTTCTTCCCCTCCCCCCCAAAAAAGCAGCAATTGAAGTTTGGCAAATTTGTTGATTTTTTTTTTTAAAGAAACTTTTGCTCTGCCAAATGAAATGACAACTAAACGGAACCAATGCTTTCAAAGAAGAGGTGTGTGTGTGTGTGTGTGTGTGTGTGTGTGTGTGTGTGAGAGAGAGAGAGAGAGAGAGAGAGAGAGAGAGAGAGAGGAGGTGGGGCGGAATACAATGAATGGAACAAGATTTATTGAGGGTTAGGAAGAGGCTTATAGCTGCTGTTCTTCACTGGTTAGATGCAACTAGCATTCGGTGGATGCTGGATTTTGCAGAAGGGGACAACTGATAAAAGAGTGGCTTTTGTTTGAGGGTGGGGGGCAGAGAAGAAAAGAATGAAGCTCTCTGGAATTTTGGTATGGAGACAGGAAGAAGAGGAAGGGGTGCTAATAAGCCAGGAAAAAGTAGGGTCAGGACTGGATTTGAGGGTTTCTTCCTAGGCAAGAATGCTGACCAAGATTTCCTTTCAAAATTCTCTTCCCCCCCTCCTCACACAACTCTTTTTCATTCTGTTGCACCTGTTTCATTTTGATGCCACCCTGCCTTCCCCCGAAACAACCTACAGATGGAGTCAGAGGGAAGCTCACTCTGAGGATGGGAAGGGGCTACAGATTCAGGTATGAAAAGTCAACTCAAATGGGACTCAACCAGATATTGGTGTTGCCACATTGATGCAAAGGGTGCTATATTGATTCACAAAGGCCTGAGAAGATAGACTGCTGCTAAGCCTGGCACTATTGGGGAAGGGTCATGGTGATGGAGATCCAGGGGGTAAGTACCAAAGGTGGTTATTTATAGAATGGGGGACTTAATCTTAAGCCCCCCTTCCTTTCAGATTGGAATATGCATTTATTTCAGAATGGGGGAAGCTGGCACTCCTTTCTTAGGCATGTCCTGCTCATTTTCCTGGGTGCCTCAGATTATCTGCCCCCAAAGTCCTGTCATCCCCAACAGGTGGGTGAAGGTGTTTGGGTTGAGCTACAGAGAGAACAGAGCAGAGATTGAAGGAGGAGGTGGTGGTGATTGAAATGCAGTCCAAATGTAGTGAGGGAAATTCACCAGAGAGAGAGAAACCAGGGTCTAGTCGGAGTAACAGAAGTTATGCAAGATGAGAATGCCCTGGAAGACTCAGCTGGGAAAAAAATAAAAACCACGGGAAGATAGCTCCGGAGAAAGAAAAGGAGCCCTGCAGAAGAAAAGTGGGAAGGGAGGAGAAGGCACCAGATCGGAGCATAATCGGATTATGCTTGCTTGAAGGAAGTAAAGAAAGATGTTCAGAGGATGCTCAGTACATGGCAGGCAACAAATAGACAGGGAAGCCCTCTCCCCCCACCCTGCCACCCCTCCACCCTGCTAGCAGAAGTAAAGAAAGGAAGCTGAGCCAGGGCCCAGGGCAGGACTCACCATTCTTAGCTTGCTCTCTGTAACTCTTTTCATTGAGGCAGACCCCTCTGCCATGGAGCAGGGCGTGCAAGGGCTTCTCCTCGCCTTGGCGCGGCAGGCAGCGCAATCCTTGGGCGCATCGCTCTGTGTACACCCCACAGGACTGCCCTTCAGCCAAGGCGCATGTCATGCAGCATCCACAACCGGGCTCCTTCACCAGCTCGCAGCCCACAGGGCTGGGAGGGCACATGGAGAGGGCTTTCTCGTCACAAGGTTCACAGTGCACAAAGGAACCCAAGCCTTGCGAAAGCCCCAGGCACAGAGACACGAGCAGCGCCTGCATCAGGAACATCTTCAGGGCTCTGTGTCAGGCGCACCGCTGCAGGAGTTACGAAAGGAAAAACAAAGTTCTCTTTGGAGACAACCACCCCCTCAAAAAAAAAAAGTCTCTTCTCCTTTAAGGTTCCCCCCCAAAAAAGAGCTTAATCAGAATGTTTGAAAAGAATGCCTAGATTGTTATAAAAGAAACGCTATATCACAGGTTGTCTGCAGCTGACAGTTGCAAGAACTACAGATGCAACAGGTTGGTAATTCAAAAAAGGAAAAAAAAAAGTCACCGGAAAAGGGTGTTTAAAAAAAAAAAAATTAAAGAGCAAGAATAGCTTTGGCGAGGCTGCACAAAGAAGTATAAAATAATCCACACGCCCCACTCAAAAGCAAAGTCTGCAAGAGGCTGGGGAGGAAGCAAAGAATTGAACAAGCTTCTTTTCGACTGTCCTGATACGATCTGCAGCAAATTAAAAAATGTCTGGAGTAGCACTAAAGCAGGTAAAGCTGGGCTTTGTCAAGAAGAGATTTAGCTTGGGACTGGCTGTAATTTTTTTTTTGTTAAAAAAACCCTTCCTTTTCCTAGATTGGGTTAAAAACAACAAAGAGGTTTTCTGTTGAAGGGTTTTTTACAAAGTCTCTTTGACAAAGAGAGCAAAGGAGGAAAAGAGGAAAAAGAAAAGAATTCCACTTTGTAGATCTCCCAACACTTTCCCCCTGGAGAAGTTTCTAAAGAGACTGAATAGTGCCGAGCAGGCATGTCTTTTAAATAGACTGCCCCTGGCTGCCTGCCAGACCCTTGCTGCAATCTGAGATCCCAATGACACCTCAGCCTGAATTGGTGCCAGGAACCAGGGCAAGCTCAGTGCACACTCCAAGTGTGTGTGTGTGTTTGTGTGTGTGTAGGGAGGGGAGGGAGTGGGGTGGGGTGACTGTGCAGCTTTTGACTTCTAGCCTTCCAACGCACACCACCCAAAGGCATCCAATTGCCACCTTTATGCTGTGCAAGAAGAAATTGTGTGTGTGTGTGTGTGTGTGTGTATGTTTTCCTCCCTCTTCAAACTGCAGGGATTTTTTTCTTCTTTTTCAAAACATTCAGAAGTTCAGGCTCAACTGGTGTCATGCTTATTCTCAGTGCCCCCAAATTGTAAAGCTGTGTACCCACACTTTGGAGCCAATTTCATTCAAGTCATTGGGATTTTATTCCAAGTAAGTTTGCATAGGAATGGAGCAGCATATTAGATTGCCAACTTTTTTGTTGTTGTTGTTGTTGTTAATCACAAATTTGCTTCTATAATAGCTATAATGTGCAGGAGTTTGATAGTATTTGTTTCTCTGCCATGAGATCAGCCCTGTTGCTTAAGTCAAGATGTGGTGAAAAGCATAGACGCGAACCAATCATAATTGCGTGTGGTTAGCTAGCAATGTTCACTATGAAAGCGTAACCTTTGATCCACCTACCGTTACCTTGCCATCACTACATCTCCATGCCCCAAAATATTCCCAAGGGCAGGATGGGTTTCCTTGTGCAGACTCTTGTTGTCAGGCAGGGGATGCATTGCAGCTGGGCTGTAAACTAAAGGTCTCCTTGCAGGATCAAATGTACACCTACTCTGGAATCATCACAGGCTTCATGGGTTTTCACGTGATGGGCGTGGCTATATATGGCAGGATATGGCCCTGCAAGACTAAGACCTGCGTGGCGGATTTCACCAATGTGCAATCTGTCCTGTAAGCCTGAGCCCCTGAGGCTTTTGTTGCCACTCTGTGTTAGGGTGTATGAGATAGATGGAGATAGATACATGATACCCTCCTCCCCCTTCACCATAACTGACTTAAATTGAAAGCAGGAACTGGGGGCAGAGAAGTGGGGGGTGGGAGGAAGGAAGAATCCATGGAAGTGAACCCCGTGGGGAGGGGAATCAGTTACAGTGTATAACAAGGGGATTTTGATTTGGTAGGGCACGTACTACAAAAGTTTTTTTTTTTCCTTCTTCCACCTTTCGCCTTGCAAAACATTCCAAAGCATCCCACAACTTGGAAAAGTTTTGCTCTTTGGTTCTAAATGTTAAGATGACCTTTAGGCAGTGGTGGGATTAAAAAATGCGAACAACCAATTCTCTGTGCGGATGCCACTTCCGGAAGTCCATCCTGGGCAACAAAAAATTAGCTACCGGTTCTGCTGAAGTGGTGCAAACTGGTTGAATCCCACCACTGCCTTTAGGACATTGCTTGACCTACGACAAGACAATACTCCGCTCTCTTCTTACTCATAGACAGAGCGAGGAGTATTAGTTTGCCTTTCCAGGACCCTAAAATTCAGCAACTGTTTAGAAAAAGTACACCCTCCCCTTTCTCTCTTTTCAGCCTTTTCCTCTCTAAGCACAGTATAGCCCAACTCTGCTGTAGTTTTGCCTTTTGCCGAATATCTGGAAGGTGGCAATGAATCATTTAAAGGAAAACGGGGTGTGTGTGCGTGTGATTGAGAGTCTTTTTTGTTTGTTTGTTTGTTTGAGATCACAAACAGACCTCTCCTCTCTTCCTCCTCAATTTAGATGCCAGCCCTTCTTCTTGCAGCCTGGACAGACCTGTGCCTGCATTACCTTATTTCTGCCACTAGAATGCACCCTTATCTATGATAAGTCCTTGAGCCTCTCTGCAAAATGTATTTTAATGCTTTTCTGCTAACCTGACTACACTTGAAGCTTTTTTACCTTGCCTCTCTCTCTCTCTCTCTCTCTCTCTCTCCACTTAGATGTGATTACACCCCTCAGAAATTAATGAAGCAATGGGGGGGACAGGGGGGAGAGCAAGTTGCCCAAATAGCGGTCAGTTTCTTTCTCTATGTGGAATCTGGCAAATCTCCAGAAACTAATGGAATACTAGCCCCTTTGATGATTCATGAGGTGTGGCTCCATTTTCTCTGATAGAGGCTCTGTCTTCTAATGCCATGTGACAGGCAGAAACTCAACTGATGCAAGCATATTCAACGTTGCAATTCCAAGTGGGAGAAAAGTGGAAGACGAGTATCTGTGGTTTCTGATAGTGAGTTTGCTGATCTTCAATGGTGGGTACATGTCCATCCCTTGCTTACAATTCCGTGTCTTACCCCTTGGGCACCTTCCACCACTGATGGGCATTTGACAAGTATCTTCTCATTACAAAGAGTTTTGCCTCCAAGTCCCTCCTAGCAAAATCCAGGAAGAAAATTTATATTTCAAGCATTTATGGCCTGATAAGTGTGATTTTTTCCCCCACAGCTAGGAAAAAGTCTTCTGAATAAACAAAGGTCTGGATCTATCTTACACTTCTCTTACCTATGTTACTTGCCAAGTGACCAAGAAGATGATCTTGGTCTAACTTATCAGCAGAAATCTACTGCTGATGCTTTTCTCAGCACAAAGATAAGCATTTTCAAATTATCCTTGGGGCAGAGAAAGTGTAGCCTTCTGCATCAGCTGATCCTGCTTTCAGCTTGGTTTTCAGTGGTAGATTGGTCATGACTCTGTGTTCAGTGGTGGGATTCAAATATGTGGACAACCGGTTCTGTGTGTGGATGCCACTTCCGGAAGTCCATTCTGGGTCTGGGCAACAAAACATTAGCTACCAGTTCTGCTGAAGTGGTGCGAACCGGCTGAATCCCTCCACTGTCTGTGGTTGATAATACTATTTGATCTGCTTTAGATGGGGTTTTTTAAAGCAGACATTTGAAATACGTAGCTGGTCTTCATTTCCCATAGTCTTTATCTACTGTCAACTATGTCCTGGATGACTGAGAATCTCCATAGACATCTTTATCTACTGAACATATTTGGTGGCAAAGATGACTGCCACTACACTTGGAAAGCCACATGGCAGCTTGGAGGGCAGGGGAGTGCTCTTGACTCTGATTTTGGCTCTGTTCTCAAATTTTTGAATGGCATCCATGAATCTAAGTATATTTATCAACTTTGGTAGGAGTATTTTCCAATCAATGTTAAATCTTCCCGTGTTCTGCCTGCAGGAGTAATTTCCAGGATAAATTCCTATGTCGTGCATAGGTTTAATACCTCTGCATGTGTTGGATTCTAACCACTGTCAATTCAGCCACACTTCCAGAAGTCAAGAGATGAGATGGGATGGTTTTGAAGAAGTTTCAGAACCCAGGATTCTCCCCTCCTCCAATTCCCCCCCCCAGGGTACTGTCAAAGTGTAGCGAATTCAACCTGGTCTCTATCTTTTTAAAGCTACGGTAGAAGTACAACACAATTATTTATGTAGTGGTCTTAAAGGGAGGAAAGTGCAAAACGTGCAATCCATTTACCAACACCTTTTTGCAATATTAGGTCCCTCAAAATGAAGGGGCCAGGATTTTCAGGATTCTTCCGAAATTCTGGAGGATAGGTTGCGATCTTGTTCCTCCAAAAAAGACTAACTACGAGTTCTGATTCGTACACTTCTTTTGGCATATGGCTCAGCCCTTTGTGTTGTTAGAACTTAGGAAGTTGCTAGCGATCCTCATTTGGAGAAAGGCCTTCAGAATTTACTTCTGAATGTATAGGATTGCGCTGCTAGGAAATCACTAACTGCATTATATTGACACGCTTTCAGGATAACCTTTTTACTGATTGGAGATAAAAGAACTTTCTTGAGGGAAGTCCCATCATACATTTTAACTGGGGGGAGGGGAAAATTCCATTCGTCAGAATTCAAGCAGATGCAATTGATTTTAATCCAAGAAATAAAAAGGTTTTTTTTTCATAACGTGATCCTAAAATTGAAGCTGTTCCATATCAAAAGCTTTTTTGGCATCTAAGAAAATCACAGTCAGCATTTCAAGATTTTTAAACTGAATTGTTAAAATATGCACTGTTTCAAGAGTGAAGTTGTTCTAACTTTTTTTTTAAAAAAAATTAAATATTTATTTTCCCTGAAAAGTATCTTGTAGAATTAATAATCAAGAAACCCATTAAAATAGTTTTACATTTTTATCTCAGGTTGCTCTTACTTTAAGAGTGAATGCTTCTGTTTATACAGGTTATGTAGGTGTAAATATTATGGACCAATGCTTATGTCTCAATTAATTTACA